GTGACCAAGATTACAGATATCTGGATCCAACCAATAATCTTAACGTTAACTGATACAGATCTAGTATTTTCAAAATCATCATCCATGGAATTCAAAATCTAGACCTGCCGCTTGGGGGTGCAGCAACCCCACCACTTCACTAGGTTGCCACACCCTTACATAGTGTTAGATTTATTCTATACAATCTATATAATTTTTATAATTTTGTATAGACAAAAATAGTGCTATTATAGTTGTCTTCTTTGTAGTTTTCTTTTTCTTTTTTCTGTTTTTTACTTTGTTCATTTTTTGGTTTTATTTAGTTTAGTATTTCTCTCTTTTTTTTATTCCTTTTATTTCATAAATTCTTTATTATTCTTTGGTAGAATTCTTTTATTTAGAAGTCAAAGAAGAAGATTAAAAAAGATGATAATTATAACAAGTTGATAAACCATATTAGTAATCTGAGGTAGCTTTATCTGATATAAACCAAACCTAATTTGTAAAACTAAAATTACCTTTAGCAGGTTGTATATAGATGCTCTTATAGTAAGGGTTATGACAAATATTATATAATATTTTTTTATTATACCTCTACCTTTCTTCCCCTCATGTAAAAGAAATTTGATCAGTTAATTATAATTCTATATTAAGTATAAGATTTTTCAGACCTTCCTCCCTTCCTCAGAATATTATGTAATATTTGTCACTCCTCTAACCAGATAAGCCACATTCCTATAATATATAGATATTTTTATAATGCAACAATTTTATTTTCAAACTAAATTTAACATTAATAAAGCATTGAAATTGTAATATTATTGTCAAAATAAAAAAAAATAAAATGTGATCATTATTAACCAAAGCAAAATCCCTGACTGAAATAACGTAATTGCATAATTTTATGTAATTGATAATCACTGCATTTTCAAAACAATCGAATTCTGGTCAAATTTGTAGATCATTTGACCTATTGGAGATGAGTTTTAAACTCATCTCCAATAGGTCAAATGATCTACAAATTTGACCAGAATTAGATTGTTTTGAAAATGTCATTCAATTTTTACTAAGTAAATCTTTCCAATTAAAGTTGTAGAAGAAATTCTGATTATTATGATGATAACTGCTAAAATTAACCCAATATATCATGAGATATGAATATTTTAATTTTCGCGATCTTATTTAAATAAACAAAAAAGGAAATGTATAATCGTGAGAATTAAAATTCTCATATCTCGTTATCCACTGGGCCAAAATTGATTTTTTGACTATAATTATAGCCGAAATTTCTTCCTCTACTACTTTATTAGAAGTCGAAGAAGGGTTTACAGAGCAAAAATCCAAATAATCGATTAAATAATCGATCGGTTATGACCGGTCATTTAACCTTATATAACCGACCGCGGTCAACCGGTTGACCGTCAATAACCGGTAATGACCGACCGTGACCGACCGAACCCATCCCTAATCAGGACTAGTCACGTTTCCTGACCTTTAGAGTAGTGATAAATAATAATAAATTATAAATACAGTATTTGTTTATGGCTTTTAAAAAACAAATAAATAGAATGCTGTGCATAAGTATTAAGGCTTAAAAAATATGTCACGGATTTGTTTATATTTAAGCGAGGCTTTTATTATAAAAATTATTTAGCATTTAGAAAAGGTTAAGATTACATAACGATACGAATGGATGATAACTTAGAAACCCGTATTCAAATAGAAGAAGATGCTGAATCAGCAATCAATTTTAATCCACATAATGGCAAATCAGTAACAATGATAGTGAGTTCACCTAAGACAGAATATATTGCTACTTGGAGTGAAGATGATAAATCAGTCGTTGGATGGAAAATTGTTGATAATGAGCAACAATTAAAACACGAATATATGATATCACAAAATAATATTGATTATGATGAGAAATTGAAATTGAATATGGGAGAATATTTTACTTATAGATACTTTACTGTTTCTGATAATAAACTTGTTTCTGTACCAATTTATAAGGAAAAAAAAATCGGTATGACTTTTTTTTTTTATGGATTAATTGTAAGATTGGATGGCAATAATTTTTATATTTATGTCATGAAAAAATTTCCAATACAGTACGTTAATTCTAAATATAATTTTATCTATCTATAAAAATTGTCTTAAGGAATTTTCGATTTTAAAACCAAAAACCGGCATAAATTAAGTCTCCCTGGATCAGAATTTAATGTTGGATGCCTAGCATTTGTGGAAGGAGGTGATTTTATTATGGTCAATTATTATGATAAGTCGCCACGTAAGGCATATGTTTTTACTCAAAAAAAAAATAGCACAGAATTGACTCACAAATTAACAATGAAATTGGAATTTATTGATGAAGTTTTCATAATACCTAGAGGAAAGTTATTTATGTATAATAGTGATATAGGTTATATTACAAAATGGGATATCAAAACTTTAAAATTTGAGTCATACTTTTTATTCAAATCTTATTATGATGTTAAAGATATAAAATTAAGCGATGATGGATTATTATTATTTGTATACGGAACAAAAGTCACAGTAGTTGATGATTTAGAGGATTCTAAGTTATTGACAGATGATTCTTACTCAACCATATCTATTTATTTGGCTACAAATGAAATGAAGTTTACAACATGTAAGTTTTCAATATATATATACATACAGTTAATTTAAATTATTAATTAGTCATTGTTATTATATTATAAGATTCGTATGATAAATCAATCAGAATTGATGCAGCTTATCTAATTGCTTCTAAAATTGGAGCACGACTTCTTATAATGGCTCAAAATACCGAAGATAATTCAAGAATCTACGAGATAAGGGAGACTGTAAGGCACCTAAAGCCTGGGCAGACCAACCCTTCCGGGTTGCCAGCTGGAAGTAAGGGAGAGACCAGTAAAGAATCCAAGGAAGAAAGAAAGTCCGAATGTGAGTACTTGGGTTGTGCGAACCTTACAAGGGTGAGAAGTACGTAATGGAAGACTAATTAGAAAGGTTGTGGCTTGAGATACGAATCAGATTATGGCAGTATCCTAAAGGATAGCTTGAGATACGAACCTGGTGACGGCAACACAACAGGTACTAGTTAGAAGGAAATTACCAAACATGCAGATATAAACATGTGTGGGACATGGACT